TGTATCACACCCCCCCCCCCTCCCTCCACCCTCCTATCACTCCTCTTTACAGGTTTAAATATCTGTGATGATGATGATGATGATGATGAACCGCCTCCTCACCTGAGATCCACATCAGGCTGTAGGACTTTGTTTCAGGGAACTGTTGAGACGTCCTCCAGGGTGAAAGCTCTTGGTTCTTTGTTCCCCCCCTGCTCGTCTGGAAACACTGTTGGAGAGGAAGTTAGAAGCTGGCGGGGACTCGGAGGTCATAGGCACAGATATCATATCATATCATATCATATCCACGCATCATTATAAAAGAAGATAGGCACAGTAAAGGCTGGAACAGATAATGACAGCTGGATTACATCTTTTTGGGAGCAATAATAATAATAATAATGATAATAATCACAGTGTGTTTGAGGCTATTTAAAGCCACGATTGATGTGTTGTGTGTGTGTGTGTGTGTGTGTGTGTGTTTGTGTTGTGTGTGTGTGTGTGTCACAAAAACCAATATAATGAACCACCAGCATCTGTGTCTTAAAATTAAAACAATTTCATCTTCAAATACATCCTTAATGTATGTATGTAAATATATGTTTATATGTGATTTCTTATAATAATAATGTCTATCTTTTTATATTTACATATATAAAATCAACATCTGTTGACAGGCTTTGGGATGGAACACCCATGTATTTATGTAACATGTCTTCCATATAAACACACATGCTTCTACACACAATCAACATATGAAATAGATCCATGTCGAACTTTTCCACACACAGGCTGAATATAGATATGTATGTATCTGTAGATATATAATTTCTCTTCATGTGTGCACATGGAGCTTCAACACATGCACATATATTACATCTGGCGTATGGCACAGCTGGATTGGTTCACTGTTTGAAAGTGTGCTTTTAACAACTACTTACTCACAACCGGATCGCGGCATAATGACGCGTGCCACGTAATGTACATGACTTTTCTTTTCGGAAGGTGTGTGACGGGCGTTCGCGACCCCGCAGCGGATGCGTTGAATGTCAACAAGTGGATCATTTAAAAGCGAAAAAGACTCCACCTTTCAGATATATGCCGTGGGCCCGCGATCAAATGACCACGACCGCCCACCTCAAAAACCCGAGAGCACCTTGCCGATGGAAACGCTCTCAAAAGGGGCGAACACACAAAAGTCACAACCCGCTCCACAGAAGCTCCAACACAACACCGACATGTGAGTCATTACAAAAGCACCACCAACCATTTGTTTTCCCTTTCTCTGTTTATCTGATGCGGGTCTTCACCGGTCACCGCGGGCTCGTGGATCCGCTCCGCTGCGCCACAGAGAACTTAAACTTCACCCTGGCTTCGCTGTTAAATATTATCTCGAGTGAAGTTCTCAAAAAGGTGGGACAATAAATGCTCAAGCGCAGTAAAAGTTCGTCAACTTTTCACGCGCTCCGGTGTGTTGAGGAAGTGTGGAGGAACAGGCGTTCCGCAGTTATTCAAAACTATCTTTCATCCCATGTTCGTGAGGCGCTCCACTGTGTGCACGTGCACATGTCCAATTAAATGTGGCATTCAAAGCGTGCAACACAAAAAAAAATTCCCATATGCTTAACCACGTCTTTTCTTATCATGATGGTAAACCAGTTAAATATTGTTGCATCAACACATGCATGTACAGGACACTGGAATGAGGGGATTAATCTGAGTCAATCAGTAACCAGAACAAAGCTGAATATTGCAGTTGATAGATAATAAAGCACCTCAGTGACGCATTTACAGTTTAGACACTAGTACACACACACACGGCTGCAATCAATGTCATCACACACCCCCCCCCTCCCCTCCCTCCACCCTCCTATCACTCCTCTTTACAGGTTTAAATATCTGTGATGATGATGATGATGATGATGAACCGCCTCCTCACCTGAGATCCACATCAGGCTGTAGGACTTTGGTTTCAGGGAACTGTTGAAGACGTCCTCCAGGGTGAAAGCTCTGTGGTTCTTGTTCCCCCCCTGCTCGTCTGGAAACACGTGTTGGAGAGGAAGTTAGAAGCTGGCGGGGACTCGGAGGTCATAGGTCACAGATATCATATCATATCATATCATATCCACGCATCATTATAAAAGAAGATAGGCGCAGTAAAGGCTGGAACAGATAATGACAGCTGGATTACATCTTGTTTGGGAGCAATAATAATAATAATAATGATAATAATCACAGTGTGTTTGAGGCTATTTAAAGCCACATGAGTGTGTGTGTGTGTGTGTGTGTGTGTGTGTGTGTGTGTGTGTGTGTCACAAAAACCAATATAATGAACCACCAGCATCTGTGTCTTAAAATTAAAACAATTTTCATTTCAAATACATCCTTAAATGTATGTATGTAATATATGTTTATATGTGATTTTCTTATAATAATAATGTCTATCTTTTATATTTACATATATAATATCAACATCTGTTGACAGGCTTTGGGATGGATACACCTGTATTTATGTAACATGTCTTCCATATAAACACACATGCTTCTACACACAAGTCAACATATGAAATAGATCCATGCGTAACTTTTCCACACACAGGCTGAATATAGATATGTATGTATCTGTAGATATATAATTTCTCTTCATGTGTGCACATGGAGCTTCAACACATGCACATATATTACATCTGCGTATGGCACAGCTGGATTGGTTCACTGTTTGGAAGTGGTGGCTTTTAACAACTACTTACTCACAACCGGATCGCGCATAATGACGCGTGCGTAATGTACATGACTTTCTTTCGGAAGTGTGTGACGGTGCGTCGGACCGCAGCGGATGCGTTGAATGTCAACAAGTGGATCATTTAAAAGCGAAAGACTCACCTTTCAGATATATGGCCGTGGGCACCGCGATCAAAATGACCACGACCGCCACTCCAAAAACTCCGAGGAGCACCTTGCCGATGGAAACCTGCTCAAAGGGGCGAACACACAAAAGTCACAACCCGCTCCACAGAAGCTCCAACACAACACCGACATGTGAGTCATTTACAAAAGCACCACCAACCATTGTTTTCCCTTTCTCTGTTTGTCTGATGCGGTTCACCGGTCACCGCGGCTCCGTGGATCCGCTCCGCTGCGCGCACAGAGAACTGTAAACTTCACCCTGGCTTCGCTGTTAAATATTATCTCGAGTGAAGTTTCAAAGGTGGGGACAATAAATGCTCAGCGCAGTAAAAGTTCGTCAACTTTTCACGGCGCTCCGGTGTGTTGAGGAAGTGTGGAGGAACAGGCTGTTCCGCCAGTTATTCAAAACTATCTTTCATCCATGTTCGTCGAGGCGCTGCCACTGTGTGCACGTGCACATGTCCATTAAGTGTTGGCATTCAAAGCTGCAACACAAAAAAAGTTCCCATATGCAAATGTAATATATGTACATATACTGAATTTCCATATACATGCACATACAGTAACAGCATGATGAGTCCACCCCACCCCACCCCACCCCCCTCAACGTAAAGAAATGTTCTTCCCACATGATCAAAACTCCGATTCATGAGAAGCTGACAACAATGAAATGTATTAAACATATTTATATAATAACAACATAGAAAGATCTGTCATCAATATCTGGGCTGCAAAGATGATTACATCCTTGTAATATTCTACCACTTACTGTGTCCTTCACAACATGTGACCCCCCCCCCCCTTCCCCCTATATAAGAACCTTACCCCCAGCCGTACTTCAGTGCTGGAGCCATGCACTTCTCACTTCTCCTCCTCCGGCCCTTTGCACATTCCAGATGCCATCAGATCCAACAGAGTCTCCACCTTCGTCAGCATGGGCCAGGCCAAGGCTGAACGGGCTTTCTTGCGCTTTGGCTGCAGCAGATGAAACAAACAGTGCACCACTTTAATTGTCAACCAATCACACCTGTTTGAGTCGGAGTCACCTGGTGAGTCTGGAGCCCTTAACAAGCGCCAGAAAACATCGTATGAAGTCTTATTTAGTAACTTCCAGGAGCGTTTACTCAGTTTTGCAACATGAACTTTCACCATTTTGACAAGAAAATCATATTTTCCCGTTTAGTATCGACATGTTTCACTAACTGATGGAGCTCCCACAACATTACATCATATACAAACCCCAGATCTGTCTTATGTTTAAAGAGGAAGCACTGGATGTGTTTAACTCATTCGTGCTGTGTATAAAATAAAAACACTTGTGTTAAAATTATATTTCATATCCATCCCAAAGCCTGTCAGTACATGTTGAGATTATAAACAGTAGGTTAAAGTCCCAGACTGGGAAGATAGACATGTTTGAAATTAAAAAGACATTAACAATAAAACATAAAGAATATTTCTATGCATGTTATTAATTAAATTCCTATGTGATCCCCTATATCTTCATTCATTAAGTCTTTTCACACTCACTGTTTATCTCTAATAACTGCAGCGGTTCTGTCACAGTGACATGAGTAAACAACCCCTCTCTCTCTCTCTCTCTCGCTCTCTCTCTCTCTCTCTCTCGCTCTCTCTCTCTCTCTCTCTCGCTCTCTCTCTCTCTCTCTCTCGCTCTCTCTCTCTCTCTCTCTCGCTCTCTCTCTCTCTCTCTCTCGCTCTCTCTCTCTCTCTCTCTCGCTCTCTCTCTCTCTCTCTCTCGCTCTCTCTCTCTCTCTCTCTCGCTCTCTCTCTCTCTCTCTCTCTCTCTCTCTCTCCGGCCCGCGTCACGTGACTGAACATAACTGTCGGGTGACTGATAACAGACCTGCTGCTAATAAACCAACCGTCGTAAATTCCATACAGCTCATATTTACATAATCACTGTTATCCTTCCTATTTCAGGCCGGTTCCCAAAGGCAGCGTGAGAACCGCGTCACTGATACTGACGCACAAAGTTTTCTGAGGTGAAAACTTTAAAAGTGACATGTTTATAAGAATGTCTGTTTCATTTTTTAAATTATATTTCGACAGCATCGCGCACTTTTCAGAGCAGCAGGACCCTGAAATAAACATCTATTTCAGTGCGTGTTGCCACAGACTGTGGAAGTTTCCCTCGTTGTACAAACTGAAGCGCGGACCAGTCACAGTAAAAGCTAAAAGCCTGTTAAAAGCTTAACAAATACAAAGCTGTGCCTTTATGAGGAATAGACATCGTATTGTGCACTTGTTCCTCTCACACCGGACATCCTCAGCAAACAAATACAGCCTGTGGATGTCTTCCCTAATGCAGCGCGGCTTGTTTGAAGAGCGTCACTTCACAGATGCCTCCATTTGCCCGACACTAAATGCAACTAAAACCGTTTATAGGTGTCACTTTGAACACACCTGCGCCTGACTGGAGGGATGTAGTGTCGGAGTGCGGAGGCAGAAAGGGAGAAAACAGCACAACGTGCAGGAGACGGAGGGAAATCATTTTTTACTCTATTACACTGTGACATTATGAATCAATATTTTTATACTTACTACTTCAATGTAAGACTCAGACACAAACAACAGAATACAGAAGCACTGCAAGTTGCACAGAACACAACAAATACCAGTTGTCTAAAATGTGTTGGACGCACCTGGACACACTATTTGTTAGCACGGTCTGTGGCCAAATAAAAGTGTAAACTGTGTGTCTTTGGCTGGACATCAACTTAGATCTGAGCACAGATAAGACACGATTTCTGACTCATCTCATCAGAATGTTACAGTCAAAAATATTTAGATTTATTCTATTCATCAAACTGTTCTTTGCAACTTGCAGCATTTCTAGATTTGATGGTGTTTTCTCACTCAGCTCTAACTACCACCACACGTTTCAGCTTTGATATAAACATCTGGCCTGAAGATTCTGTCCCAGATGTTTCTATGTGCAACACAGGTTGTTAAGTCTCCTAACAAAGACCAACACTTTTGTTAAATGTGGCAGGAACTTGAACTGAGGTTTAACGTCAAAGCTTCAGTGCCCGATAGTGTTTTCATCCTGCAAGCCGTGCTGGGTATTTGCACTTGACAATCTGTGACTGCGTCCAGCTCTCTTTAAGAGAAGTCTGCAGTGTTTATTCGCTGGGATAAACAGAGACGCCCGGTTTTTGATTCCAGCAGATGTGATGTATGCCTCAGTGTTATAATGGCGTTCTTGGCTTGAGGTTAAATGGCATTTGGAACTGAGGGATTCACTGGTGTTAGAAATGGGTCAGTGACGCCTCCATTAACAACCTTATGTGTGTGTATCTGCTCAATGTATTGTAGCAGCAGCTGACCTCCGACCTGTTTTCACATCTGCAAAACACTGTACGACTATTACTGCTGCTATTGTTCACATTCACACACACATTTTAATTTTGGAAAGTTACCAAGAGCATTTACTTCAACATTCTTCCACAGTTTTGTGCTGCTTTCTTCTTCTACTTCACTACATTTTAGAGGGATATTTTATAATTATTTCACGGCTTACTGTGCAGATTAAGACTCTACAAACAAAGCATGTGATAAGCTCACTGAATATGATCCACTGTTACAGATTAAACTGAACAAAGTGCTTTAAATTAACTCCAACCTGACCCACTAAATATGACGGCATACATATTTTTGTTGTTGCTATAGATTTAAATGACTTATATATATTTTGATTTATTGAGAGGGAGAGAGGACTACAGAGAGAAAAACAACAACAAATATATATACAGGAAATAAATACATAAGGTGAGTGTGTATGATATTCCTTATAAAAGGTGCAGCTTTTATCTTAAAGATAAGTCCTGATATGAAACACTATAGCTGCGTTCCTTTTCCACCATGGTCAGTGTGAACTGCTGGTGACTGCAGGGGTGGAGTGTAAAAAGACTGCTGCCAAGTTGGACATGTTCTGCTCCCCTTAGTATCAGTGTGCACAGATGTTCTGCGGTATTTCTATTTAAATGAATGTCGACCTCAACATTTCAAGACAAGTTTACTTCAGCCTTTTGACACATATGAAGTTAAACAAAAGCAATGTTTTATGAAACCATCTGGGGTGATGTATCCCTGATAGAAAGATAAATCCGGCCCATATTTGGCTTGTTTTCCTCTGGCTCAGTGTACACCCGAATCTGGCCCATATACAACATGACTTTAAGATGCTACCTCCACATCTGGACCACATAGTTCGGACTAACTTCTACATTACTTAAATTCAATAAACTCACTATTTCTTCCTCATCAGTCTGTGGTGTTCACAGGTGAGTTGTTTTGACCCCCACCTTCAGGTGACTAATATAGAACAACAGTACAGGTGTGCAGTAGCTTAGAGTAACTTACCAAGTCCACAGCCTCACCAGTGTCGGTGCGGTCGTCAATTTCGATGTCACACTGCAGATGATGCAAACTTTTAGTGCCACAGAAAAGCATAAATTCAGTGCAAACGTATAACACAAGTGGCAAACTGCCGTTTTCATGCATCGAGTTTGGCTTAATGGACGTCGCCATCTTGGTTTTTTGGAGCCAGAGGAAACCATATTTGGATGACAGGGTGGAGCTAGGGAGGAGTGAGCGGTGGATCTGACCTTTGTCCCCGAGGACAACAGGTACGCCCACCTGCACCGGCAACCTGACAGCAACAGGCTCCTGGCTGAGCCGTGCTAAGATGCTGCTAACACGGTTAGCTCTCACAATTCGAGGTAAACCTGTCCCTTCATTCACAAGTGTATTTTATTTTTAATTTGTCAGTTAAAGTTGATTGTAAATTGCACACATTATTTAATTAGCGCATTTATGACATTCTTTTGTGCGCGTCTCCAGTGGTGTAAATAGTTGACATGAATGCAGTGGAGCATGTCTGGTATGAATTTTAACATAACCATACATAATGCCATGTAACCATACATGAGGTTCTCCTGCTGTTTCAGTTTTCAGTCTGGATTCCTTTAAATGACAGAAAAAGACAAACACTTTAGTTCAGACATGGTGGATCACGGTTAATCACACACATATACCAGCTGTCAGGACAGGTGCATGAATACCTGCTTCAGCTGAGGACTCCTGTGTATGAATTTACAGTATTAAATGACAAACCACGTGACATGAGGACGTTCTGTAGCGTCGTCATTCCGTCGTCACGCCCATTGGTCATCTGCGCTGTCAGTCACTTCTACAACTTCCGCCTGCTCGGGATATGATGTAACAGCTGTTCAGTCAGACTTATCGGAAGTTATAATCGTGTGATAGTAGCTCATATTTACTGTCAGTCACACTTTTAAAGGCATCGGCGAGTGTGACCGTTTCAAACTTCACCAAATGGCTTATCCGGGATACGGCGGGGTGAGTAAATTATGTGTAACCGTGATTTTACAGTGTTTAAACGAGCTACATTAGCTAGCAGGAAGCTAGCCTGGGGCTCCTGTTACAGAGAATTTCCGATAGTTTTGGACAAGATGTACTGTGACAGGTTTCAGTGTCCTCCTTTACACTCAAACCTCCATCGGTGACTTTTTTCTGTTTCAGCTGTAAGTTAGGAGCCATATTGTCTTCCTCTCTTCATTATAAGATTATAAGCTTTATTATAAATGTCTTCCGGTATCACTTTGCAGGACCAGCCTGCTAGCTAAAGCAGCTTGACAGCTGTATGTAGCTGAAACAGAGCTTGACCACTGTCAAACCTTCTTCTTATACTGTAATATAATTCATTTAAAGTAATGCATACGAATTGTAATTGTGTAGTTAAATTGCTGGACCGTGGAAATACGTATTTGATAACAAGAACCACACAAACTTTGACATATGAGGCAAAACAACTTTCTAGTGTAGGTGTGATTCTTCAGTGTTGACTGCAGTGACTCAGTGTTGTAAAATAACTATAATTTAATGCCCTTCCTCAATCTTTGAATCGGCCAATAGCAGGC